AAGGTGTATTAGGGTGTTGGAGCATTAAACACTTCCAAAGGGTCTGACTTTCCTGTTAGTTCTCTCTTGAATATGCTAGAAACAAGGACATTTCCTGGAGACACCATGACACTATGCATCTGACATGTTGGCCTGTTTTCCTTGTGTGGTCTGAAGTATCTGCACTGAATTATACAAATTCTTTGCAATATCCAGAACTGCACAGCTCTAAGGTTCTAAGTGAGTGGAGCTCTAGGGAGTAGTAGGCACTGAGATGTCCGTGTGCCAAGAAGACCTGCCTGATGCACTAGGTGGACATGGGTCTCCCAGTTGCTCTACCAGAGCAAGGAGGCACTTGCACATGTCYTGGACCACCTCTGTTCCTTTTAAAGTGCAAAGGAGTGAGTTGGTGTGTACATCTGCCTCCCTCCCCCCTCTCCACTAACTACAGTGGGAGCTCAGAGAAGAAGCTCCCATGCAGGCAGCTATTTTGTGCACCCCAAAWTTGGGCCAAGGRAATCCTGCTCTGAGTTTGTGGAGTGCAAACAGGAGCAAACTGAATGCCACTGAATCCCAGCRGTGTGAGGTGACACCCTGGCTGTATACAGGGGAGCTGAGTTCTCATCATGGACACAGGACCCCTGGTCCCACCTCATCTGTACTCCTCTGGGCCTGATTCTGTGCCCTAGAGCTCCTTTGGTGGCAAYGCTAGAATAGAAATTGCAGAGGGAAACTCTCCTCATTGTCCTGGATGTATCCAAAGGAGTCCAGGGCAGTGGACTCTTATGTTAACCCCTCTCTGTTGGAGAAGGAGGAAGAAGCCTGGCTTCAACACGGTTGCAACTCCTGTTCCTCATGCTTTACATGAGGGGGTTCATTGTTGGAGGTCACCAAGCAGCACGCTTGAATGCAGACACTTTGGAGTTTCCCTAAAGGCGATGGTGGGATTCAGCTGTCTAATCACAGACAGGAAAATGTGAGAATACCAAGGGTCTTTCTCCATCCAAAAAGGCAGAGTTTTCCTATCGATCCCACCCTTGCAGTTGTGCT